CCCTATGGAGTCTGCTGCCGCGCCTGCCCAGCCATGAAAGACCCATGAGGAGCGAATGAAGGAGAATGTCCTACACAGAACCTGTCAGAGCAGTGTGTTTGGTTTGAAGTTTGCTCGGGGAGTGTGGGGAATGAGGCAGTCTGCCTGAAGGGCCAGCTTTATCTCCAAGGTAGGCTGCTTGTTCAGGGATGGGTGGTGGAGCCTCTGGAGTCTGCTGCCGCGCCTGCCCAGCCATGAAAGACCCATGAGGAGCGAATGAAGGAGAATGTCCTACACAGAACCTGTCAGAGCAGTGTGTTTGGTTTGAAGTTTGCTCGGGGAGTGTGGGGAATGAGGCAGTCTGCCTGAAGGGCCAGCTTTATCTCCAAGGTAGGCTGCTTGTTCAGGGATGGGTGGTGGAGCCTCTAAAATGTGCAAGGAGCCAGGGGGCTCTGGCAATGGAGTGGGGTTGCCGTGGGCTGTGTAGGTGGAAGGTCTTGTGGTTAAGGCTGTGATAAGGGCTTGAAAAGCTCTGGGGTCAAGTCCCCCCTTTGTCACAGACTTTGTGTGGCCCTTGGGCCAGAACTTGGTGCTCTCTCTCTGCTTCACTTGCCAGCTGCAAAGTGGGGGTGGGTCCTGCTTGTCTATCTGTAAGGCTTTTGGGCAAGATACTGCTGCTTCTGATGTGTGTGCCCTGCATAGCACAATGGGACTCTGATCTCTGCTGGGGCTACAGTAATACAATAAATAGTAAGAGAGGAGCGTTAACTCTCTGCAGAGGTTTAGGTCAGTGGTTCTCAAAGTGCGGCTGGTGATCACCCTGCAGGTGGGCCATGGACTTGGAGCTGGAGCACGAGTGCCAGCTTCCCACTGTGTGGGGAGGGGAGGAGTCTTGCGGGCAAGATCCTGATTTTAGGGGAAGGAAGTGGTTCTGTGCACTGCCTCTCCCGGCTGGGGGAACGGCCATACAGGACACCGCTTGCCTGGAGACTTTCCCTGCCAGAATTGCAGCCAATGGGAGCAGCGGTGGGAGGCACAGAGCCAGTAAGTGCCTAGGCTCCCAACCCCCACACTGTTACTGAGCCCTCCCTGCCTCTCTGATCCTCCATCCTCAGCCCACTCCTTCACCCAAACTCCCTCCCAGACCTCGCACCTGCACCCATTTTGTCATCATGAGGGGTTGGCTGGTGGTGCGCCGAAAGGTCTGCCCTGAGTGGGGTGGGCCGTGGGCCAAAAAGTTTGAGAAGCACTGGTTTAGGTGAAGGTTAGTGACATTATTAACCTGCGATTTAGCTCACTGAATTTCCATGACACTTGGTAATGTCCTTACAGGCATCTTTGTTCTTACAGGCATCTTTGTTCTATCACCTTTTAATCCTTAGCTCCTCTCATACACACGCACTCTAATGACTTTGCCACTCTCTCTAATAATCTGATCTGTGGCAACCTAGATTTTGCTGCATAATAAAACCCTTTGAAAGACTGTTGTTATCCAGGCACCCCCAGAAATTAGAAGCTAAATTGTGTAGCCTTCAAACAAAGTCAGACCGGTATTTGTTCAGCCAGAATTATGTCTGTTCTGTACCATCTGTTTTTATGCAAATCTTCCATTAATTTCAGAGAAAGTTACCAGACCACATTGCTTCTTGGTTATTATAAAAACTCCCTAAATATACTGTTGATGATTATAAATGTAAGAACATGAGATCTGCTAGAGTGGCTCAACCCAATCAAATCCGGCAGTTATCACAAAGGCTTTTTGTTATTGGCCTGCTTTTGTTGAACAAAAAAGGCTATTTAGTCCTCCAATGGGATAGCTCATCTATTTTCCTTCTGAATCCTGCCCCAGTATCATAATGCACAGACTTTGGTTTAGAAAAGAAAATGACCACCCCCCCTCCAGTGTCTTCTCAGGAGCTCAGAAGCTTTACTGGGAAACTCCCAGTGTGTTCTTTGATGGTAGCCTGAGACGTGGGTGCAAATGGACCTCCGGGTTTAAGTGGGACTGATGTGGTGGCTAGACCTCAGCAACTCTCCATTCAGAAGTGACTTTTAGCCCACCGAAGTGGCCAGCTGGCTTCTAAAACTTACCCATTTCACAGTTATCACGAGGACGGCCGTACCGATTGGTCCTGAGTAGACGCCGTATCCCCATCGGTCATGGTAAATCCTCACCGCTATGGTGAGCACGCCAAACATCACAAAGGTTGACCTTTTAGGCTCATCGAACTCTGCCAGAGCTGCATGACACAAACCACAGTGAGGATCCGAGCATCTCCCATTGTTTTAATTTTGCGCCAGTTACTTGGTGTTTCTAAGGGTACGTCTAGACTACATGCCTCTGTCGCCACAGGCATGTAGATTGGGCTACCAGATGTAGGAAAATGAAGCGGCGATTTAAATAATCGCTGCCGTGCTGTTTGTCAGCTCAGCGCGATAATCTGGACGCGCGGGTGTCAACATCAAAGGTATTTGTTGACCACCCAGGTATTTTGACTTCAGCTACACAATTGACATAGCTGAAGTTCCATAGCTTAGTTCAACTTTAGCCCTGCTGTGTAGACATACCCTATTAGAGCTCAATTTTGCTGATAGGGGCCCTGAGAATTTGACCCTGCTTCTAGCACACCATTCTTAGGGTACGTCTACACAGCAGGGCAACAATTGAATTAAGATATGCAACTTCAGCTACATCAATTGCGTAGCTAAAGTCGAAATAGCTTAATTCGGTTTTTGGCGCTGTCTACACAGTAGGACGTCGAAAGAAGAACACTCTTCCTTCAGCTTCCCTTACTTCTTGTGAAATGAGGGTTACAGGAGTCATAATAAGAAGTCCTCCGCTTGACATTATTTCAAAATAATGGCTTGCTGTGTAGATGCACACTGTGTTATTTCAAAATAGCGTTCATTATTCTGAAGTAACGCTTTGGCTGGTATGATTCTATTGCATATGGGGGAAAGTGAGGCCTACAGAGGCAAAGTGGCTTGCCCAAGCATGGGCAGGAAACTCTGGCAGATCTAGGAGATCCCAGATCTCTTACCTTCCAGATTCTCTGAGGAGAAAATAAAAGGGAATTTAATTTCTCATCACAATGTCCAGCCCTGCAGTTCATTTCCTTCCATCCTCAGCTGGGGCCAGGGTTAGTCAGAGTTGAGAGACACATTTAAGATTGCTTTGAAGATAGCTTCCTGCTTACTAGGGCTACTGGGTCCCGCCACGGCGCAGGGGGCAAGACTCTATCACTTCTTGAGGTCCCCTTCAGCCTGGCATTTCTAGCATTCTATGGCTTGGTAACAACATTCAGACAACACTGACCTGAGCTGTGTTGGAACTGACAGCTCAGAGGCTACATTCCCATACAATTTCCTTGAGCTTTTTGGTTTTTATTAATGTTGACAAATGCAAAGTAAAGCATATTGGAAAACATAATTCCAATTATACATCTAAAATGATTGAGATTAAATTAGCTGTTATCACTCGAGAGAGAGAGAGAGAACTTGGAGTCCTTGTGGATAGTTCTCTGAAAACATCCACTCCATGTGCAGCAGCAGTAAAAATTAAAATAGAATGCTAGGAATCATTAAGAAAGGGATAGAGAATAAGACAGGGAATATCTTTGTGCCTCTATATAAATCCATGGTACGCTCACATCTTGAATTCTGTGTGCAGATGTGGTCACCTCATCTCAAAAAAGATGTGGCATTGAAAAAACTTCAAAAAAGGGCAACACAAATGAGGCGGGGTATGGAACAGAGATATGAGGAGAGAATAATAAAATTGGGACTTTTCAGCTTGGAAAATGATGAGGGGAGATATGATAAAGGTCTATAAAATCATGGCTGGCGTGGAGAAAGTAAATAAAGAAGAGCTATTTATTTTTTATTCATTCCCATAACATGAGAACTAGGGAACACCACTACGTCTGCACTGGCACGTTCTCCTGCAAAAACTCTTCCAGAAGAGAGTCTCTATACTGGCATATGCTTTTGTGCAAGAGATGTGCTTTTATGCAAGAGCATCCATGCCAGTGTAGATGCTCTCTTGCGCAAGAAAGCTCTGATGGCCATTTTAACCATAGGGCTTTCTTGCACAAGAAATTCATGTTGCCTGTCTGCACTGGCCTCTTGCGCAAGAACAGTTGCACAAAAGGGCTTATTCCTGAACAGGAGCGTCAGAGTTCTGGTGCAAGAAACCCTGATTTCATACATTAGAACATCAGTTTACTTGCGCAAGAACACGCAGCTAGTGTAGACAGGCAGCAAGTTTTTGTGCAAGAGCTGCCGCTTTTGCGTGAGATCGCGCCAGTGTAGACACAGCCCAAATGGAATTAGTAGGTAGCAGGTTTAAAACAAACAGAAGGAAGTATTTCTGCCCACAATGCATAGTTAACCTGTGAAAATCCTTGCTAGTGAATGTTGTGAAGGCCAAGACTATAACAGGGTTCAAAAAAGAGCTAAATACATTCATGGACGATAAATCCATTGATGGCTATTAGCCAGGATGGGCAGAAATGTTGTCCCTAGCCTCTGTCAGAAGCTGTGAATGGGTGACAGGAAAGGGAACACTTGATGACTCCCCATTCTGTTTATTGCGTCTGGGGCACTTGGCATTGGCCACTATCAGAAGACCAGATATTGGCCTAGATGGACCTTTGGTCTGAGCTAGTACGACCATTCTTATGTTTTTGTGTCCTTAGAGTCAGCCTGTTCCTACTAGGGTGAAAAACTTCAGTTAATCCCAAGTGGAACAACTTAAAATGGAGCGATCTAAGACCAGCTAGTTCTAAAACACCTGGCCCTCTGCCTGCAGAACAAATAGGGTAAGGAATATTCATCTAGTCTGATGACCTGCTCAGTATGTTGTAATATTTCATGTGGCGGCTTTCCCAGCTGACACATGGCCCAGGATCAGATCAGTTAGCACTGTGTAGCTGGCTACCTCCTTCCCCCAAGTCATCAATTACAGACTAAGAGAAGCCGTAGGAAGCTGGCTTGGGACATCTGCTCATCTGTGAAAACCATTAAGGCTTGGAACGGCACAAGGTGGCATTGTATTGTACCGGGCAGTGGCACAAAGGGGATATTTCTCATCGTATCACAGGGCTTCGTGCCATAAATGTGATTATTATTATTATTGATTATTTGTGTTACTGTGCTGCCTGGGTGTTTGAGGCATAGGCTAGCACTTTTTGTGGCAAGTGCTGTGCAACGCAGAATGCCTGACAACACCAGCCAGACGGATCATTTCTCAATACAGTGCTAGGAAGAGATCAAACTGCAAAAATCTTGTTAATAGTTTAGGCAGAACATGGTTCTTTCGTACCCTAGCATGAGTCAAGACTTGCTGTGTTATCTGTAGGGAATATAAATTGCATGATTGTTTCAGGGCCACACAAAGTGTGACCCACAGCTGTGCAAACAAGGTTTCCCATGGTTCAAAATTCTCTTGTGTGAGACTTTCCAAGGCACCTTTGCAGAAAGAGACAAAGGGCAAAAAATTTCAAGAGACTTAGGAAAGTGTGTTTCTATTTTCATAAGCGATGCAGGCAGTCAGGAGCCTGTGTCTTATTGAAAGTCAAATTGGCTTAGGCACTTCAGGGACTAGTCCCTTTGAAAATGGAAATTAGGCTTCTAAATCACTGGGACCAGAAGTAGCCCAGTTTACTGACCCGCTGAGCCACACAATCATTTTCAGAAGTTCAAGTGCCATGACATGCACAACCTGTCCTGTGGGGCGGCAGCTCCTGGGGCTTCCCCCAACAGCCCCCTCTGGGCTAAAGACCTTAGAGGCCCCTTTGCCCCATCTGATAGGCAGAGAATAATGGGGATAGGGAGGCAGCCTCCGTGAGCCCCACTTTAAATGTAAAAGAACTGCATATGGCTCATGAGCCACAGCCTGACTTAGACACTTCTGAAAAGCTTACTCGGAGGCGAAGAAGTCCAAAGATGATGGTGAATTTAGCCACACAACTCCCATTAATTTCAGTGAGACTTGTGTAGCTCAACTCTCCTCCTTGGCTTTGCAAAGACCAACCAAGCTCTAGATGTTTCCAGACATGGTGATTGAATTAACTTTCCCCGAGATCCCTGGGAACCAGTTTTCCAGGCGGGAAAACTAGGCCAGGCTAATGAGCCAAAGGATCAGGCCTGATAGGATCTCTAGCTTCCTCCTAATTCGTTCTCTTTTGAGCCCTCAGCAATAATGACTTTGCACCATTTTCTCTGTTGATCCTATAGGACCATTCTGGCCACCCTAAGATCTGAGTCTTGCTAACTAGCACTGGGCACAGCTTAGGTTGGGCCTTGTTGGCTGCCCACGCACCTGCTTGATGTTTGACCACCAATGCAAGCAAGTTATTAGAGGCTTTTGTTGAGTACAAAACCAGGTAAGAACTGTTTAAAAGTTATGGATCCCCTTGGGCTCTGTGCTTTTCCAGCTTATACAGCTGTGTTATGGCTGCCCTGGATTTGCATTCCAGGAAACGTGCCCAAGGGTCTGTACGTAGCACACGTGCATTCGAGCTTTACAAGCACCAGGGTGGAAAGAACTCCCTGCATTTCAGTCACCATACCTTCTATGTCCTTGGACTGCATTTTTCACAGGGATAAACGTCCACATTTTAATTGGTTTCCCTGCTGGTCAATAGTTTAAACCTCTTAGTCCTCATTTTTTAAAATTCAATAATAAAGCAATCAAATTCAACCGAGCCGCAATGAGCCAAGAGATATAGATCAAGCCTGGTTTCCCTTGAAATTGCTTTAATCCAGGGGAGAATGGCCCTGGAATCTTATTTGTTTCTTCTTTTGCAGTATTAACTAAGCAGAGTACAAACATGATGGATAGACTATCAACAAAGCAGAACCCTTCCCTGGACTCTCAAACTGTTGTTGATCTGAACCATATTTGAGATTTTTTCCCATGCTTGTTTTAACATGCAGAAGATTGGTTCCTTGTTGTGGGGGTGAACTAGTTAGGTGCTCTCTTCTGTGTAAAGGCTGCATAAGCTCTGAATACCTGGCTTTGAAAGGCCATGGAAAGTGGGAATTGGCTGAATCATCTTTCCATCAAAAGAGACCAGAGAGCTGGGGATAAAATAATCTCAAGGCATGTTGTGAATGTGACTGTGTAACCTCTCACCCGAGCATAGGAAAGGTTGATAGCACTTAGTGGTTTGTTGGTTGTTCATCTAAGAGCTGGTTGGCATTTTTTGAATGAAACTTTGTTGTTGTGGTTGTTGAAAACCGTCCTTTATACCAGAATCAGAAATATTTTAAAAATCTTTTTCAAAAAATGTTATCAACACTATCAGAGAGGGAAAATTTAGTCTTTTGCTTTTCTTCATTCCTCCCTTTCTTTCTCCTTTATGGAAAAGGGGAGGGAATGGAAAACATAAGGGGAAAAGGAAAAAATAAAAGTCAAAATAGATTTTAAATAAAAATGGTAGTGAGATTTTTTTTCTATTTCCCCACATGCTCTGCTATTTCCTCACAGCCAAAATCAAGTCTTGATTAAACCAGGGGATTTATTTATTAGGAGAATGAGTTTTGATTTGCTTATGTGTCTTTGAAGAAATGAGCCCCGGTGTAAAGATATGTGCTTAATGGCGGATAATGGTGACAGATTATCTGTGGACTTCTTGGCTTCTGGGTCAAGGAGTGTGGTACAAATACCTTAACTGATCCGTGAAGAATCAATGCTTGTCCCCACATCCAAAGCTTTTCCAGCCCCTCTTTGGGACAGGTACTGTCTCTTTGTTCTGGGATTGTACTGCATCCGGCACAATTGGGCTTTGGTCTATCATATGCCTGAGGCCCTAGCACAACATAAACCAGAGGAATCCACAGGTCGGATTGGGGTCCATAGGAGAACATCTCAAAACTGGCTCAGACAGGTGGGGGTCAGAGGAGACAGCACATCTCTCCTGTCTGAAGCACACAAAGTATTTAGGGTAGCCAGTGGAAGGGTGGGGGAACAGGCGGTTGCCCCCGCACCTGGTGATTTATAAAGGACCAGGGCTCTGGGCTGTCACCACCAATACCATGGCAACAGAAGTGACTGCAGCTCTAGGCCTTTAAATTGCTGTTGTTAGAACCCTGCACGGTGCGGCCTGGGTGGCACTGAATTTTGGGTGCCCCCCAACCTTGCCTCTTCTAACTGAGGCCCAACCCTTTCTGGGGGAATTCGGAACAAAGCCCCCCCACCCCGTACCTTGCCCAGGGCCCAGCAAAATCTGTTGTCAGCCCTGATCTGATAAAGACCAATGCTCACCCATCAGTGATACCCAAATGGACAAAGCTGTCCCATAGATGCTGAAGTACTCCAGGATATCATACCGCATGAAACACAGCACTGACAAACCCGGTCCATCACACGCATGGTAAATCTGTTAAAAAGGACAATATAAAAGCACGTCACAGATGCAAACCTGGCCATGTAATATTTTAGTGTCCATTCCAACCAAGCCCTAAAGTCTTGACTCAGAACCCACTGAAGTAAAAGGAAAGACACCCTTTGATTTCAATTGGTCCTGGGTCAGATCCTATGACCCTATTTTACCCAATCAGCCGAGTGGCTGCAGTTTGTGTGTCCATACCTGAACTAGTGAACCCAAATAGTAATAGTAATGAAGCTGCAGCAGCATAGGCCAGCCCGGCAATGGGCAACCGAGGCTAGTGAGCGGGCTACATGGGTGGCCCTCCTTCATCTTAGTGAGCCGCAAGAAGATAGTCACAAACAAGACGGTCTCCCGGGATGGGGTAGTTTTGCTACCTGAGCTTTGCATCCCTAGAATTTGCAAGATGTGCTGACTGAACCATAGCAGCACTGTGATTGGATGCAGAGAGAGCGTGTGGTGTTCACAGTCAATACTATGTCCAATCAGCATGCATCTCACTGCATGTGCCTTACATGTCACGTTAGTAATACCGGTAGGAAAAAAACTAGGTAGACAGAAACTAGCGGAATGTGGCAACCCTGAGCATGAACAACAGTAAACAAAGTGTGTCATCGGCCACATACAGGACCCCCAATGGGCTGCATGTGGCCTTTGGGCTTCAGGTTGCCCACCACTGGGCCAGCTGCTGTAATACATAGCCAGGATCCTGGACAGGTTTGAACAGCCGGTGCTGCTACAGGCGGACTGCGATTGTGACTCAAGCCAGTGAGATCAAATGTCTACATGTGTTGCAGTCACACCTCTCTGCTTGCCGTGCGGACACAGTAAGGAACAGAACGTGAGTCCTAGTTACGACTGGGTGATTGCTTAAATAATGTATTCAGGAAATGGTGCCTGTATTCCTGTTTTCGAGTTGTGTCTAGACCAGTCTCCTTTTGGTTAGTGAATTCTATGTGAAAAATCATTGCTGAAAGTCTTGGTCTGCAGCTGATCTGTGAACTGCTTGTGACTCAAACCAGTGATTGATGGTCAAGCTGTTTGGAAGGGAGAGGCAGATTACAGGGTGAGCTTCATTTCTCTAACTCTTAGGATAACGTTTCCAGTGTTTCAGTGGTTTGAGCATTGGCCTGCTAAACCCAGGGTTGTGAGTTCAATCCTTGCGGAGGCCATTTAGGGCAAAAATTAATCAGGGATGGTACTTGGTCCTGCTGAGAAGGCAGGGGACTGGACTCGATGACCTTTCAAGGTCCCTTCCAGTTCTAGGAGATAGGCAATCTCCATTATTATTAAAATGGGTTTTGGAGGGTGAAATCCTTCTAGAGGCAGGGGGTCAACACACAAATGAGTCTAAAACAGGACTTGAGTTGTGCTGTTTCTCATCATAAGGGTGAGTTTCAACCTCTGCAGCATTCCCTTAAAATTCATCAGATCAGTGGATGTTCCTGCCCGTAAACTCATGTGCTAGAATATTTGCAAAATGTTTTCATGCACCCTGGATGTAAGTGTTGGCAAAGGAGTTTCACTGGAAAAACCAAAGGCATATTTGTGGGAATTCTTTTATAGAGTTTGTGTAACCCACACATCTAGGCTACGTCTATACTGCAGCCTTTTTCCGCATAAGCTTATGCAAATGAAGCACAGAGTAGAATATCACCACGCTTCATTTGCATAATTAATTAGCAGCCATTTTTGCACATTTTCCTGAAAAAATTAGGAAGAATGGCCCTTGCACAAGAGGGGCGTTTTGCACAAAAAGGAGCCATCTACACAGCTCCTTTTTTTTTTTCAGGAAAATGTGCAAAAATGGCTGCTAATTAATTATGCAAATGAAGCGTGGCAATATTCTACTCCGCACTTCATTTGCATAAGCTTTTGCAGAAAAAGGCTGTACTATAGACATAGCCCTAGTGTGGTTCACTGTCCCATGCAACCTAGACCACAGCAACAGATAAGAACAAGAGATTTCTACAGCATGAGCTAACAGCCAGCTGGCTTTATAGCTCAAGCTGTAGAGGTGTCCATATTTAACTTCAGAGGTTCCAGGTTGGAATACATCTAGTGATGGTTACATTTGCCTCTTCCTCTGACAGCTAGACTTCATTAGGTCCCTCTGCTTGATCTGGGCAGGTCTACACTAGGAAACTATTTTGAAATAGCTAACATCGATTTAAAAACTCCCAAAATAGAAACATTGAAATATCATGTTCTCACTATGGAGAAGCTTTGAAATTAATCCCAGGCAGGCTCCGTTAATGTGGATGTGCTACCTCGACTTAGAGCCCCAGGAAGCACTGGAGAGTAATTAGTTCAAATTACTCTGGGGAGTCGTTATTTCAAAATAGTGGCACCAGAGCATCCACATTACCGCAATTTCAAAAATGTATTTCATTTTGTGAGTATTGTAAGTATAAGTATTTCAAAATGAGGGTTATTCCTTGAGGAAAGCAGAAGTACAGATTTAGAAATAAGCGGCTCGTTATTTCGAAATAACAGGCTTGGTAGTGTGGACACTCTGCTTATTAATTCAGCCAAAGGGGTGTTATTTGAAAATAAAGCCCTAGTGTAGACCAGGACTCTGGGATGCTTCTCAGTTCCTGATTTGGTCTCTTATCCATTTGGCAATATATTGGCCTTAAACAAGTCTTGCTGCCATTTCTCTCTGGGGATACCAATGTCATTAACGGTGATATCTGCTGCTCGTTCTTCAGCTCAGTCTCTTCTGTAGCAGCATTGGCCATGTATGTAACTCTCCCTCCCCTCCCCCTGCTTGGTGTTGGGTATTGAGAAGGCTGGAGAACAGGAGGAGAGAGTTTGAAAGTGCATTTCTGGCTGAAGTAGAAGCACTTGTCAGAGATGGACAGATGCTCTCACTGGTCTGAAGAATTTCCTGTGGGGGAGTCAGAGCGGGACTCCACAACGCAAGCAAAGCAGCAGCTGCAGTGCCGCGTTGCTCGCCCTGACATACTCTGACAGCCCTGGCAGCTGTCTCCCTTTTCTTACATTTTAATATTTTGCATCTTCAAATTATTCTCCCAGGGTCTGATCCATCCATCTCCTATTCAAGTCAATGGCAAGTTTTCTCTTGGCTTCAGTGGACATTGTAACAGCCCCTAAAACAGTGCAGACTGTGTCCACGTGGCATGGTACAGTTTTATTCATCAGTCTGGTAGGTTTTCAGATATTAGCAGGATTTTTTTCTGTGCTAACAAAGCTGGCCTTTAGAATGAAGGACGAGCAAGTCCAGTGGATGGACCACCAGACTGTGCCTCTGGAGATGTGTGTACTACTACTAGCTCTGTGTCTGATGGGCTTTGATGATGCTCACATCCTGTGCCTGAATTTCCTACATCTGTAACATGGGCATAGCAAGTCTTGCCTGCCATTACTGAATGTTTTGAAATCTATGATTAACATGGCTAAATATTATATGAGTTCAGTTATCGGGCATGGGGGAAGGAATCCAGTTCTTTTCAGGTTCTAATACCATGTTCATCCCCACAGGGGCTGAAAGGTAACTATGTTGATGATGTAAACTCTGCTCTGTATATATAAGCAGTTTGTGCATAAAATAATAGCATTGTTAATCATTAGAATAACAGTTGTGTGGAGTTCCGTTCTGCTTGACGAGAGCAAGTGCATAAATTATTTTTTTGTGCACAGGTGAACAAGATAACTCTCCACCCCTATTAGTGCATTGGAAGGGAGGGCAAATAGATTTCCTGTCCAGGTTAAGACCCACTTCGTCAGATGCAAGTGGGTCTTTGCCCACGATAGCTTATGCTCCTACACTTCAGTTAGTCTATAAGGTGCCACAGGACTCCTCGCCGCTTTTGCAGATTCAGACTAACACAGCGACCCCTCTGATACTTGTCCAGGTTAATAATCATCTTTCTTGATAACTCTGTGACATGTCCCTCAATCTTCCTCTGGTACTCCATAAACCCCCCCTGCTTCCAGCCTTAATTTACACCATAATTCAGCTACTGTAAAATCAACAATCCCACTGCATGCTTTTGTCTAAAACTATAAAACATCAAATTACTTTAAATACAGTTTAAAACCCAAATCCAGGATGGCCACTGAAAAACTGTAATGGACCAACAGACAGATGGTGCCAAACCCAAAATTTGCAATAATAATAAAGGGGTTCAAATATATTGCCCTATGATCCCTGATTTATATTGCCATAAACCAAAGAATCCCATTTTGGATACTCAGGGTAACACCTAGTGGCAAATGCAACTATTAGTGGATGTTTTCCAGACATGCAGTACATTATGTTCTCTGTGTATTGTGTTTTCCCCTGTTTATTTCCCAATGGAAACCCTGCAGCGAAGGGGTAAAACAGGACACCGTCAACAAAACAAATAGAAGGAATTCTTACCGCAACAAAGAACATAGTGAAGAAATAAACCATGGCCTCCATGTGGAACCTTCTCTTGGCTGCAATGCTGATGGTGGGGAGGAAGACGAGGCTGCTGAGAGTTGGGAGAAGAAGCTTGGCAACTAATGAACCCATGGGGAGGGGGAGATATTCGCAGGCAAACGCGGAGGAATATTATTATTCAGAGGAATAAAACCTTTTTCAAATCAGCAACGACGCTGGTTAGAGAGGATCAGAAGGACAGCATGGAGCAGCTCTGAGTGGGACTACAGAGTGTTGTGAAAACAGCTGTGGCAAGTGTACTTTAAAATTTAAATGCCCCGATGCTGGGTTTGTTCCAGGTGATGTCTGACAAATACCAACAGCTGATGGCACAGCTGCCCTTTAAAGGGTCATCATCTCTCTCTTTTTTTAAGATTCCTGAAATGCATTGGAGCTTAGTGGGGACAAAAGCTCTTTGCCACCAAGCAAAACATTCTTTGACACATCTTACTCGCGTGCAGCATTTTTGTAAGTGACCTGTTATGGCGTCAAGAGTGAAGCAACACATGTGGGTCAAGTTTTGTTTCGGATGAGAGAGGGACTCCCCCTGAAAGTACCAGAGAGTTCATATGTATAGAGCCCTGCAAATCTGCAGGTACCTGCTTTATACCTATCTGCATGTGGATGCAGATATCCACGGCTCATTTTTGTGGATACAAATTTTGTATGTAGAACCCTGCAAATGTGTGGGTATCCACTTTATATCCCCGGGTATCCACGTCCGAGGATGTTGATGTGGATATCTACAGCTCATTTTTGTGGATGCAGGCACAACATTTGGTGCATACGTATGTGTATTGGAAAGGAGAATAGACCTCATTCAGAGCCCGTTAATGACATGGATTACTTTTACTTATGTGAAGCTGTGACGGACCGGGCCGTGTCTGGGCACAGCTGAGGGCGTCCGCTCAGGGCGAATTGCTCAAATCCGGGGCTCTTTACAGCCCCCAGACTGTACAGACCTCTCCAAACAGGCCACAAACCAGTCCCACAGAGCGCTTCAGCAACCTGCCTGAAGCCTCCCGAGCAAAACCCCTCCGACACCCCAGCAATATCCGTGCCCCAGATGGCCCCGGGCCTATACACAGGTGGGGGGGTCCTAGCACCCAATCCCACCTACCCTGAACAAGTTCTGTCCGATTCCAAGAAACCAGCCACAGATCCCTGGTCAATTTACCCTCTGGACCTTACCCACAAATCACGCTGGGCCAATCCTTTAGAATCTATATCTAAAGGTTTATTATCGCAAGACAGAAAAGCCTGAGAGTAAGGTTGTTAAAGAATAGTACGTTACATGCACCGAATCTCCCAGGCCTCGATGCAGGCTCTAGCAGAGATGTTACAGCTGCTGGTTTAAAAGTTCTTGTTGCACATCCTAGGGTCAGGATGGGTCCACAGTTCTTTCCGGCTCTTCGATCCCTGCAATGCTGCCTCTGGGATGAAGTGCTGAGCTGAGAACAAAATGGCATCGACCACATGGCCTCTTTATACCTCCTTCCTGGCCTCTTCTTGTATGCAGCAGGTCACCTGGTCAGAGGCCAATCTCTGTGTTTCCTGCTGGCTGCTCTCATGTGACAGCCCCCATTCTTTGGGTGTGTCCTTGGCCCATCAAGAGCCATTGTCCTACAGGGCCTGGCTAATCAGCCTGTCCATAGCAATGCTTAACCACATTCAGAGAAATATTCAGCTTTCACACAGATTACAGATTCCTACCTACATTCTGTCACATTACCGAATTGGAGGGAAGCAGCCAGATCGCTGTTGCACCCCTAGGTGGGGGCCCCAGAAATTGGTATAAAAGGGAGCCAGGTGGGGTATTGAATGGGAGCTTATTGTTTGCTGATCTTATGTACGCTATTTATGTGAGTGTATAATGTCTGTGTGTGTAGCTATTTCATTTCCAGACGTTACAGTAGCTGTAAGGGTGTGGACTTCTCTATGATCTACCCCCTAGAAAAGAACATACCAGCTGTAAACTCTTCTTTATTTTTCTGCAACAAGCAAAGACTTAAGATTGGCTGCTATTCTTCCATAGTCACTAAGATAGGGTGTTACAGTGCACCAGACATATAACGGCAAAACCACACAAGATTCCAACAGGTAACAGTCCATTACATGTTCTTGTCCTGTTGTCTGTGTGTTCTGACACAGTTAAAATTCTTCCTGTTTCTTAGTAATGCCTTAAAACTTGCACCATGGGTCATGTAGCATCTTAACGACTGTAGATCTGTCTGAAACTGTGAAGCCATAGAACTTTTCTGAAGGTAAAGAATCTCACTGGATCCTGGTGTATTGAATGAAGCTGGAGGAAAGGAGACCAAAAGCCAAGCAAACATTGTGCTGCTAATCTACTCAATGGTCTCTCTTGTTTATTATGACTTTTTATTGTAGCCCAGTGGCTCCCCTCCTAGCTTAATTTCTTTTCCTTGGAACCTGGGGTGGATTCTCTGCATCTTTTCAGTCCAGCTGTTCTTGTGAAGCAAGGAATAGGAATGTTCTGCTTGAGCAATAGTCGCGGGGGTTGAGGGCTCAAGACCGTGGGTCATGCTATGAGCTACTGCCTGTTTTTTGTACTGATAGGCCAGGCTGATTACCTCCCTGGAAGAGAGCTCTTTGAAAGGGAGGCTTGGAATGGAAACATTCTCTTTAAATAATTTAGCCCTGGTGGAAGAGGGGAGCTCCTCAGATTTGTGGATTAATGCATATGTAACCCACACACCTTTTGGGTATGGTGTATTGTCCCATCTAAGTGGCACCAAGACCACTTACACCTGGTCTGCAGTATACCAGGCAAGTTGGATTAAGGTAGGCCATCCAGTTATGGAAGCTGGAGTCGGCTTATCTTAAGCCAAGCCATCATGGCATCTACACTGCAGGAGACCGACGGACGCGCACGCTCCTGTTGGCTTCCCTAATTACTCACAGAACGAGGATTACCCAACGAGGGGAGAGCTGCCCTCAGCGTTCGATTTGGGGGTCTACATTAGACCCGCTAAATTGAATGCTAAAAGATCGACCTCCAGAGGTCAATCTTCTCTGCAGTGTAAACAAGCCCCTCCAGAGAGAGAATAATGAATTTGTTCTATAGCCTGTGGTAAGAGCCAACTGGCTTTTAGCTTATCTGGTACAGACTCATGCACTAAGGGTACGTCTAAACTACATGCCTCCGTCGACGGAGGCATGTAGTTTAGACGTACCCTTAGTGCATGAGTCTGTACCAGATAAGCTAAAAGCCAGTTGGCTCTTACCACAGGCTATAGAACAAATTCATTATTCTCTCTCTGGAGGGGCTTGTTTACACTGCAGAGAAGATTGACCTCTGGAGGTCGATCTTTTAGCATTCAATTTAGCGGGTCTAATGTAGACCCCCAAATCGAACGCTGAGGGCAGCTCTCCCCTCGTTGGGTAATCCTCGTTCTGTGAGTAATTAGGGAAGCCAACAGGAGCGTGCGCGTCCGTCGGTCTCCTGCAGTGTAGATGCCATGATGGCTTGGCTTAAGATAAGCCGACTCCAGCTTCCATAACTGGATGGCCTACCTTAATCCAACTTGCCTGGTATACTGCAGACCAGGTGTAGCCGTTCTGGGTTCAATTCCACCTGCTAGTGAAAATTCACCTGCCAGCTTTGGAGGTCTATGTTTAAATCCTTCCTTAGGTTCCTGAGTGGACTGAGTTTGTGGGGTTTCATCTCAGTCCCCGATATTTGTTTGCTTCATAGTAACCACCATCTAGCTTATTCAGACTGGCCATTTCTGTTCTGGAAAGAGGCTGGGGTGGCAGAGTTTTAGGCAATGCAGCCTGGGGCGGATGTGCCTTTGCTGGGTGGTGTGAGACCGCAGATTGGCATGGGGCAGTATACTTGGGGGACCGGGGAGTCTTTTGGCAGAGCTGTTTTCAAAATCTCCCCACCTGATATTTGTGAATCCCCTGCTTTTAGAAATAATATACTCATCATAAGCCTCTTAAAACTTGCTAGATCTTCTCCAATGTTTTCCTACCAACCAACAAGGCAAATGTGCTAGGTCACACATGCCAAGCGGAGGCACATCCTCCTGATAATCCTCTGTCTAATGGCTGCCTCCTGCTTTCCTCTCCATAGCACCTGTGTTGGAATGGTATGAATGCGCCCCTGAAAATGATTTTTCACTACAAGGATCTGGATGAATTTTTGCCGTGAGTATTCGGGCATGTGAGCTAAAGTCACAAGTCCACAAACATTTGTGCTAGTGCCATCCCATGGACGTTTGCGGGAAGGAAATTGTGCAGGGCCAAAGCGAATTTGTTTAAAATTACAACTGAATATTTGTGGAATTATTTCCCTCTCCCTCCCCCCACGAGTAGTCTTTGCCCCAGTTCTAGTTGGAATCCATTGGAAAGGAAACCCAGTTGGCTGATGGATGCCGTAGGTGCCAGCCATGGAAAGTGTTTGACTGAGCAATAAAAAGTGCTATAGTTCTCAGAAGCAAGAAAACATTCCACAGGTTGATGAATTTTTTTTTTCACAGCTGCAAACCCTGAGCCTGGTGTTTGGTTTGAAGCCAAAGTTTTAGGCACCAAGGGGGGAAAAACACATCAGGTTGCACATGTGTTCCAGCGATTTAAAAAAAAAAAGCCCCAAAAGAAAACAGCAGGTCTGGGCAGGGCAGGTGGCTGGGTAATGTCAGTAGTTGTAGCCTTGGCACTGCTACTTAAAAGACCTTTGTTCAAGCTACAACCAATATAAGACAATGAGTTGGATGCAGGCCTTTCAAATGTAGATGAGAAGTTTTCCACATGACAGACGCTATATTTTTTTCTTTTTTACACAAGTAGGAAATCTCAATGGATAAGCAAGTTTTCAGCTCATACACTTGATACTCATGAAAAGCAAATTTTAGATCCATTTTCTGGGAGCATTTGCATCACTTAAACACGGGCAATGAAAGCAAGATGGAGTGATACACCCTTAAATAACATGGTGATAGGCACGAGAATAGAATAGGAGAGTGGTTTTTCACCTGTGGTCTGTGGCCTCCGGGGCCCAGAGTTTATGTCTAAGATTTCCAAAGGGGCCCGCACATGGAATAAGGTTGAAAACCACTGGAATAGAGGACAATTCCCATGCAGAAAAAGCTTTCAACTCATCTTAGTACCAAACTATATATTTAGATTAGTGATACTCAGACTGAGGCTCGAAAGCAGTAAGTGGCTCTCTAACGTGTCTCCCATGAGTCTTTGCAGCACGATACTAACACACTATGGCTACATCTACACTGCAGGCTTCTTGCGCAAGAACTTTTTGCACAAGAGTTCTTGCACAAAAAGTTCTTGCACAAGAGCGCGTCCACACTGCCATGTGCTTTTGCGCAAGAGTGTCCATGGCAGTGTGGACACTCTTTTGCGCAAGAAAGCTCTGATGGCCATTTTAGCAATAAGGGTTTCTTGCGCAAGAAACCCCAATTGCCTGTCCACACATGCCTTTTTGTGCAAGAGCTCTTGTGCAAAAAGGCTTATTCCTCGTAGACAGAGGAATAACTCTTGCACAAAAAGCTCTGTCTTCTTACGATTAACTGTACTTTTTCTTGCGCAAGAACGTGCTTGT